ACAAAAAAAGGGGGGGGGAGGGGGCCTCTCCCATAGATAACCCGGGCCGGGGCCATTCCTACAATACCTACAGCTTCGGGACCTGAGACGGCAAAGCACACAACAAATGTAAAGCTGGCCCCGGGTCTGCATCCGGTCCAGGTCGCCCGACAATCATGGAATGCGCCGTCTTCCACGAACATTCGACAAGCGGGCGGGATGAGGATAGTTGCGGACGTGAAGGAAGAAAGAGCCAGCGAGAAACAGGGCTGTCTGTATTTACCAATCTGGGAAGATTGCTCAGCCCAGAATACAAAACGCGCAATGCACCACAAGGTTTACCGGCTTGGCGTGCAGCAGCTCTTCAGCGTTGCACGCGTGCAGAGGCCCTCAGGTTACCATACCGCAGCTATAATGAGAGCATGTTCTCAGACTTGGTTCTTGGCACTTTGTTGAGGAACCCAAATTTCTGCATCATCGTACGGTATTTCGATGGTCGATCTGGAGCACTACCGCACTTGGACCCTTGCGCCTCTCTCTGGGTTTCTCATCAAGTTGTGGGACCCCTGTCGTCGATCAACCCCACAGCCAACTATAGCTGGTTGTTTGTTAATTACTATGTACACTCGTTCTACAGAGTGGTCCTGTAGTATCTCACGCTGTCGCATCTCGCCATATGCGACTTGCCAAGACTTTTGAGAGAAAGGCCTTCGGTAAATACAGAGTAGACTACGGCATCCATGGACGGACATACCCGTCCGTCATAATAATGGGTTGACTTGGCCTTTGTATGACTGCGCCGTGAGCCCATGGCAGACTGCCATCAGATAAGACTTGACAACTCCACCAACTACAGCAAGGGCTTCAGTAGTCTTTAATTTCCTTACAGTAATGGGCTTGAGTTATTCGCAAAAAGACTTAGCCACCGGTATCTTTACAACCCACGAACCGTCAAATTTCACATCATTGCTGAGAATTGGGCAGGATTGAAGAAAGCGACATGTCGGATTGGGAGTAAAAGGGTCGGGAGGTCACCATGTCATGAGAGCAAAGCATGAACTTGAAACCCAATAGAATAATCCCGACGCCATGCCAAATTTTTATGATCCGATAGCCTCCAGTGGCCTAGTCTCCTAATACACTAAAGTAGTCCGGGTATTGTTCCATCTTAGACCTTGATGGCGTTGTCAAGAGCCTTCTGCTTCTTCTCGGTGCGCTTCTGGGCCTTAGCACCCATGATACCACCACCCCACTGCTTGCGAGCGCTGTCGGTCTTCTCCAAGTATCCGTCCTTGATGGCGGAAACAAGCTTGGAGAGCTCGCTCTTGTCCTCGGAGCGGACCTCGGTGAAAGCGAGGACAGCGGCAGTCTATGATCAGTCAGTAAGCCGCAACAACAACATCTGTGACAACCGAGTAGACATACCTTCTTGTGGACGACGGTTCCGAGGCGGGCCTTGCCCTTGATGATGGCGAAGGGGACACCCATCTTGCGGCAGAGGGCGGGGAGGAAGATAACCAACTCAATGGGATCAACATCGTTGGGGATGAGGACGAGGGAAGCCTTCTTGTTCTCGATCAGGCCAACAACGTGGTTGAGACCGTACTTGACAGTGTAGGGCTTCTTAGAGACGTCCTCCTTCTTCTTGCCGTCCTTGACGGCGGTGGCCTCCTTGACGAGACGCTCCTTCTTCTCGGCCTTGGTCTCAGGGCGGTACTTGTTGAGGAGCTTGAAAGCCTGGGCGGCAGTGTTGCGGTCGAGGACGTGCTGGAACTGGGCGATCGCAGGGGGGACCTTGAGGCGCATGTTCAAGATCTTCTTCTGGCGCTGAAGACGGACATACTCGGGCCACTTGACCATGCGGGCCAAGTTGCGACGGGGCTGGATGTCCTGGCCGATGCCGAAGTTGCGGGGCTTGCGCTCGATGAGAGGGTTCTGCGATCATTGTCAGCCATCTATGGAACTGCGCGCGCAATCATGGAGAGAATATGTACTGACCTTAGGAGCCTTCTTGGAGCCAGCCTTTCCCTGAGGGAAAGGGGCGGGAGCCACCTTCTTACCGGACTTGGGAGGCTATCATTGAGAAAGCAAGACATCAGTGAATTGTTCAAATCAACTTGTGTCTTCCTTTAACTCTAAGGAGAAGGACGGAGAAGCATTGGAAGTGAATCCAACACTTCACCATCCCTTCCAGCCAAATCATCATCAACGGCCCGTCCCCGCAAGCAAGCTAGCTAAGGACCGACGACCGAGACGGAAAATCGCAGTTCGCATAGCAGCGAAACTCGATGGAGATTGGCCTCGAGGGCAGATGAAGTCGTCTTCGTTCAATTTGTACTCACCATTTTGTCGGTTGTCGTGATACTGCCTTTGGCGGGGATGGATGAAGAGAAGGTCAATATGCAGAAACACAAATTTCAGGAGACGAGGATAAGACGTTGTTGGTGTGGGCGCGAAAAATTTGGATTAGGGCAAGATAGGGTGGGTACCCGATAAGAACATTTACAACATGGTCACGTATCTGCACCGTACTGCAGGTGGGGAACCCGCACCGCTAGTCTTATCTCCACGTGATGATCGCTTTCCGACGATAAGTGACCTGAAGGCTTGAAGTTAGGTAGGTAGGTACTTTAACAAAGGAGTGCGCGGAACAGCCTTGACAGTGACGACAGGGTAGTCGACCCCACTACGAGGGATGATGGAATGTCACTTTTGCGCCAGACAAAATAGTTCACAGAGACCCGAGCACCTGATTGTTGGTCATCTTGTTCACCACGATTGGACCGACTCTTAAAGTACCCACGACAAGTATTTACGCCCATCCTGAATCAATCTTCTGCTGGCATAGGTAATTACCCGTTTGGCAGCTCAAGCGTGCAAGCTAGCAGGCAATGCAAAATGGAGACAGCAGTATCAATACGAATAAGATCCTCGTCTCTTGTTTCCTCATAAAACCCAGGCTGACAGTCTTTGTTATTCCTGGTTCACTCAGGAGGGATGCAAAGTTGCTGGAGCAGACGATTGTAATGCATGGCAAAGCGAACGAGGAGTATTTCACAGAGAAATTCCCGTCCCATTTCTGCACTAAATGACGGTACCCGTGTGGTAGGTATCTTGCCCACTAAGTGATGGAAGATCCAGGCACGGAATTCCGCTTTGCGGTACGTACCTATTGCACCGACGATGATGACTCCAAGGTCATCAAAGCGACACGGCGACACATGCTATTCTTAAATTTTCCTTAACTTCGATCTAGCAACAACAAATTCCTTTTCTGATCCGACTCCCTAGACCACTCTTCCCCCGGAATACATGTTACGTGGAGAAACACAAGCCCACGTTCACTGCGTTCTCGACTTTCCGGTTCAGCTTAATTTTATCCTGTCCGATCCACCGCGGGGTGTCAATTTCGAAGTTCGTCGATTCAACTGAGGCGACGGTTTCTCCAGCGCGAAGTGGCGCTAAACCTCTGCCGCCGACACGACACTATTTCTCTGGGACGCCTCTCGTATCGCTTGGGACCTACTTATTCGTTCCTCGTGGTGCAGCAATCAAAATGGCACCGGTACTATGCGCAAAGTGCAAGACCGAACGCGCTCTCGTGAAGCGGCCCAAGAACCACCAGAAACTTTGCAAGGCTTGTTTTATCTCAGTGTTTGAGGAAGAAGTACATCACACTATTGTCTCTTCCGCACTGTTTTCCCGGGGAGAACAGGTAGCTATCGGGGCTTCGGGTGGCAAAGACTCCACCGTTTTGGCAAGTGTTCTCAAAACCCTCAACGACAGGTATGACTACGGCTTGAACCTTGTACTCCTCAGCATCGATGAGGGTATCAAGGGTTATAGAGATGATTCGCTCGAAACCGTCAAGAGAAATGCCGTGCAATACGACATGCCCCTTACTATAGTGGGGTACGACGAGTTGTACGGCTGGACGATGGACCAGGTTGTCGAAGTGATTGGAAAGAAGGGCAACTGCACATATTGTGGTGTATTCCGCCGACAGGCACTGGACCGAGGCGCCAAGATTTTGAACATTAAACATGTTGTCACCGGCCACAACGCAGATGATGTGGCTGAAACCATCCTCATGAACCTCTTGAGAGGAGATTTGCCACGGCTAGGTCGCAGCACAAGTATCGTCACTGGCGACGACACTAGCGATGTCAAGCGCAGCAAGCCCCTCAAGTATTCTTACGAGAAGGAAATTGTGCTATATGCTCATCATAAGAAGCTCGACTACTTCAGTACCGAATGCATCTACAGCCCCGAAGCTTTCCGTGGAACTGCTCGCACCCTGATCAAGAACCTCGAGCGGGTGCGGCCAAGTGCTATTTTGGATATAGTCCGCAGCGGTGAGGATATGGCTCGGCTGGTTGCAGGAGCATCAGGCAGCTCTTGCGCCGGCAAAGGAAGTACTCCCCGTGTCGCTGAGGATGACTTCATTGCTGGCTGCGGCTCGCAGCAAAGCAAAGGCCTTGCAACCGAAATTGCTCAACTGGATGCAAGCTTGAGCCAGACAAATCTGACCAAATCTCAGGAGACAGACTTCACGACTGCTCCTTCACCTTCGCCAAAGATTGGAAAGAATATTCAGAATTCGTCTGAGACGCCCAGACCGAGACATGGCCAAGCACAGGCAACTCCGAGTGCTCCATTACAGACATTGGGCAAGTGTGAAAGATGCGGCTACATGTCTAGTCAAGCCATCTGTCAAGCCTGTCTATTGGTGGATGGGTTGAACAAAAATAAGGCGCAGATTAGCTTATAGAGATAATAAGATCCTCATCCCAAGCCAGAACTAGCAGACATTTACAATGTTTGTCTGTGGCCCGCCTCCCACCCCTCCACTCGACGTAACCGGCACGATCAAGTCAACAATCGCATAGACTGCGGCAGTAGTTCTGAGACTGAACAGGAAATAAAAGTTTCATTGGGTGGCTGAAGTCGATGATGAATAGTGGAAACCCTCATGGTTTCCAGACAAAGTAGCATACATGTTTTTAGTTGAACCTCATCCTCTATGTCATACGCTTCTCCAACTGCACGGTATGGTTAGCCAATGTTCAGCCATCTGTCGCAAGCAAATACATACTCTCCAGGGGTGGTTCAGTTCGAAGCCTGGAGGCGCTTCGTGGTTGGCAATCTGTCCCCGCAGATCGCCCGTGAGTCTGCGATCCCGGTCCATCACTGTTATACCTTCAGGTTAGCTTTCCATCGAACAGTAGGATATGTTTCCTGTCGGTTGGACACGTACTTTGCTGTAAGAAAGCGAGGTTAGCAACGTGAATATCGAAGGAGTGCCAGTTCACGAATACTCACCCTATCCCACTGATCCAAGCCCCAACGGGGCTTCTTTCCGCCGTTCTGAATGCCCTTGATGACGTGCAGTCCGGTACCGGTGATACCGAACATCTAATACGACGTTAGTTTCCATCGTGGAGGTTGGAGTCGTCTTGCGCCGGCGCAATGGCAATCACAAGGTAGCTCTTACAGCAATCATGATTCCATAGGGAATCAGGGTTTCGAAAGGAACGGGCATGGTAGCGGATAGCCGTTCGGCTGAGCGTCGTTATTCGTCGGTTTGTATGTATCGAGAGGTCGCAAGGCCGACAAGAGACACAACTTGTAGTTGTCGGTGTCTACGGGAGACGTCGTTGGATTCCGGCTTCCTTGAATTGACTGACCAATTGATGGAAGCAATCCGCAAGTCGTCGGTCCCTCGGACTTGTTATTTCTGGATCACGTGATATGAAGTTCGCGTCAGTGCTTTTGCGATCAGAATGATTGGCTGAGCATTGTGAATGGTCCCGACAGCTTGCCATTGGTCACTGTGGAAGTTATGCAATGGAAGTGGGAACCTTCCATCCATTGTTTCCGTCCCTGACACGCCTGGCAAAAGCTCCTCCCCCAAGGTTGCGTTTCGCGAATTGAAGCTCATAGCAAGTGGCTAGCAGGTAGCTACCCAGGTACTCCGTAGTAGGCGCCTACCTACCTTAGGTACCTCCACTGCCTTGCCGTCCCACACCCGGTGACCCAGATGCATGTCGCGCATACCTACGGAGTACCGTGGGAACCTAACCTCTGACCCAGGTGGTGCAGACACAGTGCTCAATTGACTGATTACTGTACGCGCCACAGGTGTGGAAGTCGCATCCCTTGGCTTGCGCCAGTCTGTTAATTAGGTATCTGCGCCTCGGACAAGACGTGAAAGCCATTGCTGGCTTTTCTACAGTCGCCGAAGACCCTGTGTCAACCATCTAGTAACACGTTAAATCCTCTGCCCAGAGACAGCATTCGAGCTGTACCAACGTCAGTGCATGTTTGCCGCGCATCGTCGCCTAAGGCTAAACGCGCTCACTTCTATCAACAACATTCGCTCACGGCCAGCCGATCACCACAGTTGTGCGCCAGACTCGCTCGATCCTTTGGCTTTCTTGCTAGCTATGGGCTGCGAATACCGGAACCTTGTCATTCACGGGCGGAATTCGAAGCAATAGCTCTGATAAACGATTGCAACCCGCACACTCCCGCGATCTTCGCGCTTCGACGACAAGATGGCAAGCGCTCAACTCACCGAAGAAGAGCTGCAGCAGAGCGCTCTTCTTTCAGATGAAGATGCCGACATCGAAGACGCACCAGCAGTGCCCGTCGAAAAGTTGCCTCAGGATACCGAGAGTCCTTTGACGAACCCAAACACGCACGATGACGAACTTTCGGATGCGATCGGCGATGAAGACGATGAAAGAGACGCGCCTACCTTGGACGGTGACATTGAAATGGCTGAGAATGCGGACGATAATAGTGAACTGTCCGAGCAGGACTCTCTAGAAGAGAACCTGGACGAGTACTCTGGCGTCGACATGGATCAGCGCCTGGAGCAAGACGATGGAGACGAAGCTTCGGGCGGTGCGCGCAGTCGCAGCAGCAGCTTGCTAGATGACATTGAGGAAGACGAGGCAGAAGGTGTTGGCGCTGTTAAGATCAGACCAGGCGAAACCGATGATGAGGACGCAGATGAGCCGGACAGCGAGCACTCGGAATCGCAAAGTGAGTCTGGAAACGAATCAGAAGGAGGCGAAGCATGGGACGACGTCGCTGTCGAGGAAGAAGAAGACGAAGACGAAGGTTCAGAAGACGCAGCGATGAACACCTGCATGTTCTGTAAACAAGATGAAGAACATGATCCGGCAGAAGACTTCGAAGAGTACTTAGCTTGCGTTGGATGTGGAGAGAACTGTAAGTGCTCTACATTACATGGCGGAGCAATACCGCGTAGAAAGCTGACAGTATCTATTTAGCACACCAACATTGCGCCAGAGAGGCCGGCGCGTTGCAGGAGTTTAATAGTACATACTCCCTCCTCCGTTAAGCCCTATTGTGTCTAATCTTTCCTTGCAGCTGCTTCTCAGTGGAAATGCCCCGATTGCGCGACTGCTGATGATATGCGTGCCGACGAGTCTCAAACGAATGCTTCTCCTGAATATGCAGAAAAGCTTGAAGCTGAGCAAGAGCCAGACGCTGAGCACGAACTTGGACTGTCTCCGTCGTCCAGACGGTCAACGGCATCCCAAGTAGCGCGAGACCTGCTTCCGCCCCAAAAAGGCACCTCCAAACCTGACTCTCACTCGGTGTTCAATCATCTTCTCTTGAACGACGATCCCATGGATGGAACTCGAGTTCTTCGTAAGCGCAAGACGTCTTCTGTCGAAGCTGAGGAAATCGTTATGTCGCTCAGGAAGCGTCGACGAAACACGTCCAAAGATAGGGAATCAAGCCATGGTACAGGCACACTACAGGACGGCGCCAATGGAGCTGGGGAGAAGGATACACGCCGCACACTACGTATACACCCCCCTCGAAAGTCAAAAGCGGTTACCATCACTCGACGGAGCCGGTCCATCGTTGTCAAGATGCGTGTCAAGCCAGCCGCCCTTCGCCGCGTACTGTCAAGAAAGTCCTCGTCCAATCGAAGAAGAACAGAGAAAGTGATAGACACAACGGCTTCGTCCCAGGATGGATTGGCTGCAGCCATGGCAGCTTCCTTTACTTCCACTGACTACTCACATCCCTTCTATTCCTTCTTGGACCGAGAAACCGACGATGTAAGAACAAAGCCATACGGAGGCATTCTCAGCGAGAACGAAGCAGATACATCAAGGACTTTGCCGACCAATGATGATCGCCGAAGATTCGATGAAGCCAAGCAAAAAGCCGAGGAGGTATGGCGAGCTCGTCTCCACAGTATCCAACTCAACCTAGCGACACCGGCCAAGAGGCCCAAGAAAAATGCTGGACCAGCGAGCCAAATCGAGTGCATCGATTTTGGAGGCTGGGAAATCGACACTTGGTATGCCGCTCCCTATCCAGAGGAGTACAGCCGGAATCGTACTCTCTACATTTGCGAATTCTGTCTGAAGTACATGAACTCGGATTATGTCGCCTGGCGTCATAAACTAAAGTGCCCAGCCAAACATCCACCGGGCGACGAGATATACCGGCATGGATCCGTTTCGGTCTTTGAGGTTGATGGCCGAAAAAACCCTGTCTACTGCCAGAATCTGTGTCTCCTCGCCAAACTATTCTTAGGGTCCAAAACGCTCTACTACGATGTTGAGCCGTTCCTGTTCTACGTGTTATGCGAATACGATGCTCTTGGCTACCACTTTGTTGGTTACTTCTCCAAGGAGAAACGAGCCAGCAGCCAGAACAATGTTTCTTGCATTCTAACCCTGCCCATACACCAGCGGAAAGGCTACGGTAATCTCCTGATTGACTTTTCATACTTGCTCACTCGCGTAGAGCGCAAGACTGGATCACCAGAAAAGCCTCTTTCGGACATGGGCCTCGTCTCCTACCGCAACTACTGGAGGCTGGTACTCTGCCGGTATCTCCTTGACCATGTCGAGGAGGATAAGTCTACGGCACCGGGCCTCAGTGTTCGGCAAATGTCCGACGATACCGGACTGACTCCTGACGACGTCATCTCTGCCCTTGAAGGTCTCCGATGCCTCGTCCGTGATCCAGTTACGGAGCTCTACGCCTTCCGTGTCGACCTTTCGTACTGTAACGACTACATAGCAAAATGGGAGAGCAAGGACTACGTCAAACTGAATCCAGACGCGCTCACCTGGACTCCGTACGTCATGGGGCGTGGCAATGCTACAAACTTTGAGTTGGGTCCAGCTATCAGCGCGATTGCGCCACGAGAAGAAGATGACATTCACAAACCTGTGCAAAGTGTGCCGCTACCAGCCTCTCAACAAGAGGCAGCAGCCAATGGCATTATCGACAACACTCCCGTTGCCGAAGGCGGTCCATCGAACATCGCTGAGGAGACTGATACAGAAGCGACTGGGCCGAAGTTGGAGTCCAATATTTTTGAATCCACGGAGTCACATCCAGACGGCCTGACGAACGGCGAGACTGGTCTAGAACAGGCTGAGGAAGAGCCGTCCCAGCTCAAGGAAGCGCTTCAGTCTATTCCCGAACAAATGGTCGGAGGCGACTGGGCCAGCCTGTACAAAGACGTACCTCCATCGAGGTTCGAGGTATATCCGCCTCCGGGGGGTCGACGGTCCGACCGGCCGCGACCCAGTGTACCTCGGCCTATCGTAGCAAGAACAACGAGCAGCAACTCCAGACCGCGACGTTCGGGCGGTGGCAGCAGCGCGAGACGAACCACATCAAGCCGACCCAAGAGCAAAAGCTCATCGTCGTCATCACGGCGTAAAACGGGGGGAACGGGACGTGGACCGGGCCGTTGGCCGAAGGGTACTAAGAAAAGCGATTACGGTAATGCCGATAGTGGGCCCGGTCTCCCGCCGGGCTGGCTTAGAGAGAAGCAAGAGAAACAGCGGCTGGCTGGCCTTGCTGTGACCAATGGCGAAGAGGCCGAAGGACTCACCATCGAGGGCAACGAGACAATGGATGTGGTTCGCGTGCAGTTCCAGGAAGGGGAACACGAGGACGCTGGCGCCGAGGGAGCAGCAAGCAAACTCAACGGTGACGTTGGCGGCCAAGCAGAGGACGAGTGATGCCAAACAACCGATACCCCCTTACACTATTCATATTCCTAGTCTCATGCGAGCCGACTTGTACCATATTGTCTTTTTAGTAATGCCAGCGCTGCATCTATTCGTTTTCTATTCTCATTTTTCTTTTTCGTCTAATCGAATACTAGTGAGACGTATTCAACCAGTGTCTTTACTGTGGACGAAGGCAGCTCAAAAAGGAGTGGGTAGTACTAACAACTTTTGCAATTCTTGAAAACCCCTTTAATTTTGTTTACCTATCTGCAGGCAGGCAAACCTAAATTAGAGGTTGGCATTACTGAGCATTGAGATGTGGCTGATTGAAGGCGCGTCTGGTTCCTACTCCTGTGACATCCACGGTTGTCAGCCACATAGTCAACCTCGCCCTAGCCTCTTTCCAGCATTCTCCGTTATAAGGAGACTGGTTGTCACGCTTCCTATCCGGACCGTCCCTCTCAAATACGTCTCCGGCCACCTCACATGACCTTGCGATAGTATGCATCCGTAT